TTTCCCCTTAGAACTGCTTTCATAGTGTTCCAGAGATTTAGATATGTTGTATCTATGTTCTCATTCACCTCTAAATTTTTAAAAATCTCCTCCTTTATGTCTTTTGCAACCCATTGCTTATTCAGTAGCATATGATTTAGATTTTATTTGTTGGAGTAGCTTTTATTTCTTATTTTATCATTGATTTATTCTTTCATTTCATTATGATCTGATAGAATGAAGGGTAATTCCTCTACTTTTTTATATTTGCTAAGAGTTGTTTTGTGACATAATATATGGTCTATTTTAGAGAAGGATCCTTGTGCTTCTGAGGAAAAAAATGTATTCTCTCATTGAAGGATGAAATAGTCTATATATCTCAGTTAATTTTATGTTATTGATTGCATTATTGTGTTCTATAGTTTCATCATTTAGTTTTATTTGGAAGATGTATCTAGTGACGAAAGAGGTGTGTTAAAGTCACCTAAAATTATTGTATTGTGGGCTATTTGACTCTTGAAGTTGAGAAGAGTTTGTTTGATGAATATAGATGCTCCATTGATTGGAGCTTATATATTTATAATTGTTAATTCTTGTTGGTGTATGGTTACCTTGAGTAGTATGTAGTGTCCTTCTTTATTCCTTTTAATTGACTTTATCTTGAAGTTTACTTTATTTGATATGAGGATGAAAAACCCCTGCATGCACCTGCAGTTCATGTGAGTGGTATGATTTTTCCCATCCCTTCACCCTCAGTCTGTATATGTATTTTTCTATGAGATGTCTCTCTTGGAGGCAGAATATTGTGGCATCTTTTATTTTTTTCATACAATCTGCTAGTCTATGTCTTTTGATTGGTGAGTTTAGGCCATTAACATTCAGGGTTATTACTGAGACATGGTTTGTATTCACAGCCATTTTTGTTTATTTTTGGTATTCAATGTGACTTGGTTTCTCCTCTGATGAGATTTTCCTCAGTTTAATACCTACCTCAGCTGACTTTCATCATTGTTTTTTATTTCGTCTTCATGGAATTTTTTTTTTTCCTGAGGATGTTCTGTAGTGCAGGCTTTCTAATTGTAAATTCTTTTAACTTTTGTTTATCATGGAAGGATTTTATTTCATCATCAAATCTAAAGCTTGATTTTGCTAAACATAGAATTCTTGGTTGACACCCATATTTTTTCAGAGCTTGGTATATGTTGTATCATGATCTCCTGGCTTTGAGCATCTGGGTTGAAAAATCTGCTGAGATATAAATTGTTCTCCCCCTATAGGTGAACTGATTCCTCTCTCTTGAAGCTTTTAAGATTCTATCCTTATTCTGTATGGTAGAAATTTTCATTATAATGTGCCTTGGTGTAGATCTCTTGTAATTTTACACATTTGGTGTCCTGTAAGCCTCTTATATTTAATTTTTCAATTTATTCTTCATGCTTGGGAAATTTTCTGATATTATCTCATTGAAGAGATTGTGCATTTCTTTGGTTTGAAATTCTGTGCCTTCCTGTATCCCAACAGTTTTTAGATTTGGTCTTTTGATATTGTCCCATAATTCTTGGAAGTTCTGTTCATGGTCTTTTTTTTTTTCACTATCTTCACTGTGTAATCAGCTTTATTTTGCAGATTGTATAGTTTGTCTTCATTATTTGATGTTCTTTCCTTCAAGTGATCTAGTCTGTTGGTTATGCTTTCTATCAAGATTTTTATTTGGTTTATTGTATCCTTCATTTCAAGGATTTCTGACTTTTTTCAGTGTCTTTCTTGAAGTAATATTTTGCTACCTGTATTTTCTCTCTTATCTCATGGTTGGAGTGATCAATTTTTGTGTGTGTTTGCTTATTTAGGTCATACTTTAATTCACGGATCATTTTAATAATGAACCTTCTGCACTCCTTCTCTGACATTTCATCAACTTTGCTGTTCATGGGTTCTGTTATTCCAGTATCCTTGTTTATTTGGGGGAACTTTCCTCCCTTGTTTTTCCATGTTGTTTATGTCTTCCTTTCTTGCAGTGTGGATCTGAGATATTACAGTTTCTACCCTACATTCTTGAAGTACCCATGCAGATTGTCTGTACCTCACCTTAATGTTGGGCCTCCAGACCCTGCTGGTGTCCCTCAATGTATGCTACTGAACTAAAGGTGGTTGCAATAGCCAAGGTAACTCAAGATAATAGTTGAGGTGCTCCAAGATGGATGCAATGTCTTACAGAGATGGGGCTGAAAGGATGGGCCTCACACTCTCTTTGTGATGCCTGCTCTGAGATGCAGCTTCTTGTAGGCCCTGTCTGTTGTCAAAAAGGTAGGGGATTCTGTATGAGAAAGGCTATGGTGATGACTGGAAGTGGGTTAGGCTTAGGCCCCCAGGTTAGGGGGAGTTGAACTCAGACCTACCCTAGACTGGGTCCTATGCAAGTTGCTGTGGACAGATCTGAGCTGTGACTGACCTCCCGCAGTAGTCTGCTGGTCAGAAGGGGCAGTCCTGTGCTGGAAGCTGGGCTGAAGTGTATGTCTGCTGCTGGGGCGATGGGCCCGGGCCTGGTTTAGCCTGGGTCTCACTCATGCCAGTGTGGGCAGATATCTGTTGCCTATATTCTTGATGATTGCCATTCTGACAGGAGTGAGATAAAATCTTAGAGTCGTTTTAATTTGCATTTCTCTAATTGCTAGAGATGTTGAGCATTTTTCATATATATGTTGATCGATTGTATTTCTTTTTCTGTGAAGTGTCTGTTCAGTTCCTTTGCCCATTTATTGATCAGGTTATTTTTTTTCTTTTGGTGTTAAGTTTTTTTGAGTTCTTTATATACCCTAGAAATTAATGCTTTGTTGCAGGTTAATAAGATAAAGATTTTTTCCCCTGTCTGTCGTGACTCTCCTCACGTTATTGACTGTTTCATTTGCTGAGAAGAAGCTCCGTAATTTAAAACCATTCCATTTATTTAGTCTTGGTTTACTTCTTGCACTTTAGGAGACTTCTTAAAGAAGTCAGATCCTAGGCCAACATGGTGAAGATTTGGGCCTAGTTTTTCTTCTATTAGGCACAGGGTTTCTATTCTATTGCCTCAGTCTTTGATCCACTTTTAATTGATTTTTATGCAGGGTAAGAGATGGAGGTTTAATTTATTTTGCTACATATGACACAACCGTATTTATATCGGTTTGTCTCTGTGTCCTCTATTCTTTACTATTGGTCTATAAGTCTATTTTTGTGCCAATACCATACCATTTTGGTAACTATCTCTGTAGTATAGCTCAAGGTCTGGTATTTTGATGCCTGCTGCTTAACTTTTTTTGCTAAGGATTGCTTCAGATATTCTGGGTCTCTTATTTTTCCAAATAAATTTCATGATTGCTTTTTTTATTTCTATGAAGAATTTGTCATTGGGATTTTAGTTTTCTTGTGGAATTTTTTAAATCTTCTAGATATAGAATCATGTCATCAGCAAATAGTGATAGTTTGAGTTCTTTTTACCTCTTTGTATCCCTTTAATTTCTCTTTATTTTCTATTTGCTCTTACTAAAGTTTTAAGGATGATGTTGAATAGAAATGGTGAAAGAGGATATTCTTGTCTTGTTCTAGTTTTTAGAGAGAGTGCTTTCAATTTTTCTCCACTTAGGATGATGCTGTATTTGGGCTTAGCATATACATTTTTTATAATGTTTAGATATGTTCCTACTATCCCTAGTTTTTTGAACATGAAGATGTGCTGTACTTTGTCAATCGCTTTTCAGCATCTATTGAGATAATCATATGGTTCTTGTTTTTAAGTCTATTAAAATGATGAATTTACATATATTGATTTCTATTTGTTGAACCAACCCTGCATCCCTTGGATGAACCCCACTTGATTGTGGTGCATTATCTTTTTAATATGTTTTTGTATGCTATTTGCCAGAATGTTAATGAGAATTTTTGGATCTATGTTCATCAGGGATATTGGTCTGAAGTTTTCATTCCTTGATATATCTTTATCTGGTTTTGATATTGGGTTGTTTTTAGCCTCATAGAGTGAGTTTGGAAGGGTGCCCTCATTTTCTCTTTGATGGAATACTTTGTGGAGTATTAGGCTTAAGTCTCCTTTGAAAGACTTGTAGAACTTATCTGAGAATCCATCTGGTTCTGGACTTTTCTTGGTTGGTAGGCTTTTGAAGACATTTTCTATTTCATTACTTGGAATTTATCTGTATGAGTCATTATAACCTCCTCATTCAGTTTGGGTAGATCATATGTCTCTAGAAATTTATTGATGTTTTCTATATTTTATTAGAATATAATTTTTAAAAATAGTTTCCAAATATTTTTTTTTTTTGGTATTTCAGACATGTTCCTTATTATACTTCTTCATCGTAGTATTTGAGTTTTCTATTTTTCTCTTCGTTAGCTTGGCCAAGGATTTATCTATTTTATTTACTTTTTCAAAGAACCAACTATTTGTTTTATCATTTTTTCATTTTTTTATTTCCATTTCATTGTTTTTAGCTCTCATTTTAATTATTTCTTGTCTTCTACTGTTGAGAAACCTGCTTCCTAAGTAAGTAAGTTCCTGAATATCTGGAAATAATGGTAGGCCACTTTTGCTACTTATGAACTGTTCTCTCATTGCCTGCAGGGCTGTGTTTTATTATCTCCCCCAGAGGCATCTTGTGATCACCCCCTTTCCCAGTAATCAGGTATCTTCAACTTCCTCACTCTTTGGTTGACTTTTTGAAGTATGATTTTTTTTCTCCCATTTAATCTCCTCTGTCATCCTTGTGTAAACTGTCCTAGTGACCATGATACATTCACCTGGTTAATTAGAGTCTCAGCTCTCTCACATTAAGTCCTTCACCCCACACCTTCCCTATCTCCTTTGAACAATTCCCTCCCTTCCTCATATTATCATCTCTTCCCCCACCTCCAGCTCTGACCAGTTCCCCTTTCTGTGAACCTCAGACCAAACCACACTGTGGTCCATCCCCTAAACTCCCCAAACTCCCTTCTGCTTCTGTTGTCTTTTGCTTCCACTCATTCTATTTTCTCCATTTTCTTTCTTTTCTCCTCTAATTCATGACTCTTCTTCCCCAGATCCCTTTGATGTACAGATGGCAGCAGGCTGTGATCTTCACTCTGGGAAGGACTTCATAAACTTTCTGCATGTAGCTATTGGAGGGTATGATTTCCTGAGTTTCCAGAATGAAACATGGTCACCATCTCCAAACAGTGGAAGAAAGGCCCAGAAAGCCTGCAAACTGCTCAATCTGGACCAAGACAACACATATAGGTTACATAGGATCCTCAGTGACACCTGCCCACGTTTCACCTTGGGTCTTCTAGATGCAGGGAAGGCTCATCTCCAGCGACAAGGTCAGTCTTGTATCCAACACTCCAAGAATTTTTCTATTTTAAAGTCAAATTCAGGATAAAAAGAGGATAATGTGTGACATTTCAGAAGTGGGAACAATATGTCTTCGTAGGCTTATGTGGAAGTTCGGAACTTATAATTCTATGTTAGAGTCTGTGTCTGGATGTGTTTTCTGTCCTTTGCAGTGAAGCCTGAGGCCTGGCTGTCCAGTGGCCCCAGCCCTGGACCTGGCCGTCTCCTGCTGGTGTGCCATGTGTCTGGATTCTACCCAAAGCCCATGTGGGTGATGTGGATGCGAGGGGAGCAGGAGCAGCAGGGCACTCAGAGAGGTGACTTCCTGCTCAATGCAGATGGGACGTGGTATCTCCGAGCAACCCTGGATGTGGCAGCTGGGGAGGCGGCTGGCCTGGCCTGCAGGGTGAAGCACAGCAGCCTAGGAGGGCAGGACCTCGTCCTCTACTGGGGTGAGAAAGGGCTGAGGCCCTGGCTGGAGATGGGCAGATGTCTTCTAGCAGAGCATGAGGATGGGGGAAACATTGGGACTTACAAATTCTCTATCAAAGAAAAAGAAAAATATATAATTCAAAGAATAGAAGAATTTAAAATAAGTAATTTTTAGATTAAGTTCTAAACAACATCCTGATGTCCACTTGAATCTCCAGCACCTCAAAAATCTCTGGGTTGGATCTTCTTGGCTGTGATAGTGGCCCTGGCTCTTCTGACAGGTCTTGGATTTTGGTTTATGAAACACTGGTGAGTTTTTCGTATCCATATTTCCTGTTTGTCCCTCCTCCCTAAGGCTCTTCCCTTCTTTTTAATCTTTATTTTTTTTTTCACTTTTTCTTCTCCTGTGAGCCCCATTCCCATTTTCTCCTCCATTCTCACCTCCACCTTATGAAGGTCTGTTATTTTTTTGTTCACTTAGGACACACTGTGAAGCTCCCTGCAGTGCTCTCCCTTTGAAATGAGGACCCAGCTACCCAGGTGCCCAGTGTACCCATGAACACTGCATGATGATATTATCACTTCAACTCTCCTTGTTAAAACTTTGCCATTCATTTCTGCTCCATTACCAATATATGCTCAATGTAATCTTGCAGGATTTGTTGTTCTGACCTGGTTTCTGTGGGTTTAACTCTGAATGGAACAGGATGTTAGCAGTGTCAGCCTGGTTAGATAAAATGGATCATCAATGCATTTCAGATGTCACATCCTCCAGGTGGGAAGCAATCTCTCCTCCATCGGTGCATCCCCACATTTCAACTGCGCCCCTCACTGTCTAGCATCTGTGGCAGGTGTGTAGGTTCATTTCTTTTAAGTTTTTAGAAGTCTAAGAGCAAAGCATGTGCTTTTTTGAGTATCTGTATCCCTGGTAAAGTGTCTGGCCTGCATGTAACATGTTCTCAATAAAAACCTGTATGGAATTTATGTAAGGTTTGTAGAGTTTTTTTGTTTTTTTTTTTTTTTTAATTCTCTGCCTTCCCAACACCTGTGTTGTGGGTGAGATATTTGATGCTCTTCTTGTTAAGTGTCTTGCTTTGCCAGGAGACTTCATGCATTCCTAGTTCCACATTCTTTTCTGAGTCTCTGAGGGGGGAAATACAGTTTTGCCTCTTACCAATTTTGTTATTCAATTTTGGGAAATATTAGCATAAAACTATTGTTCCAAGTGCTCTAAACCAAAAGAGCAGGGAAGAATGAAGGTCTTCATATTCAGTGTGGTTTATGGTCAACAGCAGATTCATTACATGGGAATTTGGTAGAAATGTAGACTCTGTGGCCTGGTCTCAGACTTACTGAATTCCAGTTTTCATTTCAACAGAATCATCAGAAGATTCACAGGTGCATTAAAGGTTGAGAGGGACAGCATGGTGGTGATACCTGAAATATGGCCCAGGTGCATCATTGAAGAGGGAATCAAAAATGAGGAGTCAACTGCTGCAGTTGTGGCTCAGCAGTAGAGCACTTGCCTAGCATGTGCAAGGCTCTGGGTTTGATCCTCAGCACCACATAAAAAATAAATAAAATAAAGATATTGTGTCCAACTACAACTAAAAAATAAATATTTTTTTTTTTAAAATGAGGAGTCAAAATGATGCTCTTGAGGACTGAAGTAGATCCAGATAAGTAACGTTCTTTCTCAGCAGTTATGTTCTCTACAGTTGCTCCTGCAAACACTGTTAGTGAGCATTGAGCCATGCTCCTAGGGTAAATAGAGGATTAGGTTCCTTTGAGTTTCTGTTCACAATATTTTTGTTAACTGAAGAATACATAACCATGTTCATGTGTACTTTTTAAAAAATCTTATTTAATATATATTTACATGTAATTATTGTATACCATATTTCTTTAAGCAGCAACATTATCAGAGAAATGTTTAACAATTTCCTGACCCTGATTAATGTGATCACAAATTTTCTTGGCTTTTAACCTTCTAACAATGCTGCGTATCATATATAAAAAAAATCAGTTGTCATCCCAAGAAACCCCAAATTTTGTTGTTTGTCATAGCTTTATCATAGCATTATAGATGTTACTTTACAATGTAACTGCACCTAATTATAAGCAAGTTTTATCTTTCTTTTTCCAGTGCATTGTGTTGTTCATTAACACTGAACTCACAGCCAAAAGCAGTATAACTATAACAAAGCTGATCTAAAACATCTTTTTCCTGTGTAATACACATCACAGCCTTTTTCAGTTTGAGAACATTGGATAGCTCTGCAGAGATATGTTTGGGGCCGTTTAAATTGACAATATCAGTGACAAAGAGCACAAAGTGTGAAAAACATGGCACTCACTAGGCCACACAGGATGCTCGTCCTGCAGTGAGAAGGAAAACCTGAAGAGACATCTTCACTTTTTTTTTTTTAACTTTCATAGGAAATGGGTTTTTCACTTGACTCTCATTTTGCACCAGTCTGTACATATCTATGAATGACTGCAAAAGTGCTGTGAGTATTTAGTTTGGGGTTATAAAGTTTTCACAGGTAGACAAATGAGAAATTCAGAAATCTTGGCTAATGAGGATTGACTAATAACCGCAACTAGCAGTTAGAGTTAAGATATTCATGACCAGGGCTTCAGTTATTCTGTATTCATAAACTGATTTAACAGTTCTTAGGCACTTACTGTATACCTACTATGCAGCAGGTACCTATTAAGTATAATGTAATGGGAAAAAAAAGATAATCACTGTGTGCTGAGCTTAAAAATTTTGACTGCCCCCTTTGATTCTGCAATTTATTATTTTCATTATTTCTCTTTTTTTCTTGGCTTCCAGGAAGAACTTACTTGAGGTGAGCTTGCAGATAGAAACAGTATCATTTTACTCAGTCAACTGAGAAGAGAGAAACTAGGGGATGGGGAACATCTAGAGAGATCACAATCAAGTGCCCGCCCATGTAAGAAACTTTCCCATGGATTTCCTCCTGAAAAATTCATTCCTGCATTCACTTGTACTGCCTTCATGCATCACACATCTATCCTTTATTATATGTATGGCAACATATTCACGGAGAATAGAATGAAAATGGAATTAGGCTTGTTTATATTACAATGCAGTGTGCATATATTATTTAATTCTGACCATAGCTGTGGAAAAATATGGGGGAAGTAGCCCAGAGGCAGATAAAATTCTCCATTTAAAGCAAAGTTTCATCTACCAAGCTCCCCACACCAATATGGTTTACTTAAAAGTATCAAATATAGTTTGCCTGTTCTTCTTAAAGTAGTGGGTTAAGAAAATGGTCCTAATGGACAAATATCTGTCATTGTAGGTGAGCATTCTACAGCAGGCACCAGAATTCCAATTTGGAACAGAGAGAAAAAGCAATTTTTCTCTCTGTTCCAAATTGGAACACCTGCTGATGCCTGTGAATGTTTATATTTCACCATTAGGTGGCGCAGAGAGCTGAACAGTTAACCCAGGCTGTGAGGCTGTGGAATATTGAGGCTTTCTTAGGAAAAACAAAACGATTGATTTTTGAATTTTGTGTACTTGTGTGACAACATAACCTGATAGTAGCAGACACACTGTCTTTGCTGAAGGAACTGTGACAGGTCACTTCAGCTGCATTGCCCACCCTCTGCACCTTTGCCCCAGGACTTTTCCTGCAATGTGATTGGGACACCTGAGAGAAGCTACTTAGCATTTGTCAATGCTCAGAACTGCAAGTGTTGGGGTGTAACACCCCGTGGACAATCCTTGACAATTAATAGATTCAAGGTCATGAATATACACTCTTCTCATTTCTCAGGTGGATATTTCAGAGACACAATCTGTATGGAGAAATCAGAAACCCCCAGCAAGATCAGATTCCAGTTTTACCTAGCAGTGACCAGCCTGATAGCATCATGTATTGGCATTCCCCTCCTTCCTGTTTTACTTTTCCTAAAGTCCCCTCCTGCTACCTGTTATCAGGTCCCCAAATAAAGTTTTATCTTTAAAGCTCCCAAAGGTGATATAGACTGCTTGGGTTTTGTCTTCTTTTCTGTTTTAGGATCTGCATTGAAAAAGAAATCCAAGCATGATCCACTAATATGTTCAGCACTCACAAGTTCAGTGTTTCTCTTTCCAGTCAGTAACCTCTTAAAGGCAACCAATATTCTGATCTCTGCCACCCTAGATTAGTTTTGATTCCATTTTTTGAATCTCATATTTTGTAACCTTAATGGTAAGTACTACTAAATGTCTGCGTTTTTTTTTACTGAACATTATTTTTATGACATTTATTCATGTTGTTCCATGTAGCAGTAGTTCAATCTTCTTCCTTGCTGTGTAGTATTATGTCATGTAACTGTGCAATATTTTTTCCATTCTGCTGTACATGGACATTTTAATTGTTGCTAGATTTTAGCTATTTTGAACAATACTGCTTTTAGAATTTTTGTACATATTTTTTCTTTATTTTCTTTTTGGTGGTGCTGAAGATTTAACCCAGGGACACTCTATCTGTGAGCTACATCCTCAAATATTTTTCAATTTTATTTTGAAATATGGTCTTGCTAAGTTGCTCAGTGTGGCCAGAAACTTGTGATCCTCCTGCCTCAGCCATCCAAATAGCTGGGATTACCTCTTTGTGCATGTCTTTATGAACATAAGCACATTTCTCTTGTAAATATACATAGAACTGGGTGGGATTGCTGGGTCAGAGATAATGTGCATTTTTTAAAATTTTTTTCTTTCTATTTTACATTTTATTTTTACTTATTAACACATACTAACTGTGAATTTTTTGTTTGTTTGTTTGGTACTGGGGATTGAACTCAGGGACACTTGACCACTGAGCCACATTCCCAGCCCTATTTTGTATTTTATTTAGAGACAGGGTCTCACTGAGTTGCTTAGTACCTCTCCATTTCCGAGGCTGGTTTTGAACTCATGATCCTCTTGCCTCAGCCTCTGTAGCCACTGGAATTACAGGTATGCACCACCACTCCTGGTCTAACTGTGCATATTAATGGGGCATGGTGTGATTTTTCTACACATGCATCTAGCATGCAAGGATCCAATCTCACTTTGTTTTATCCACCTCCCCCTGCCTTCAAAAATTCTATGAATTATTATTCTATACTCAAGTTGAAAATTTTTAGCTTTCTTGTATGAGAGGGGATATGCACTACTTGTCTTTCAGTGTCTGGGCTTGTTTCATTTAATATAATGTCCTCCAGTTCCATCCATTTTGCAGCAAATGTCAGGATTTTCTTTATGGTCTAATAATATTCCATTGTGTATATATGGATTAAAAATGCATCTTTCTGTTTCGGGACACCTAGACAATTTCATATCTTAGTTCTTGTGAATAGTATTGCATAAACATGAGTGTCTAGGTCTCTCTTTGGCATGATAATTTGCTATTCTTTGGATAAACACCCAGGAGTGGAAGAGCTGAATCATGTGGTAGATCAATTTTCAGTTTGTTTGAGGATCCGCCATACTGATACTCTTCTCCATGGTGAGTGTACTAATTTTTCTTGCTCACCAGCAGTGTATAGGAGTTCCTTATTCTCACCAGCACTGATAGGTTATTTATTTATTTGGTTTTGGGGATTTAACCCAGGGGAATTTTAGCACTGAGCTAGATCTCCAATTCTTTTAACATTTTATTTTGAGACAAGACCTTGATAAATTGCCCAGATTGGCCTTGAACTTAAATTCCTATGGAGTCAGGGATTACGGGAGTGTGCCACTGCACTAAACCAGTCATTCTAAATAGGGTGAGATGATATCTCACCATAGTTTTGATTTGCATTTTTCGCATGGCCAATTGTATTCAGTATTTCTTTGTTTACTTATTGGCCATTTGTATTTGTTTGAGAAATGCCTTTTTAGATGACTTGAACATTTTTTTATCTTTTATGGATTTTATTTTTTTTAAATATGACAGCAGTGGAATGCATTACAACTCTTATTACACATATAGAAC